TATGATACGTACAACACAGTGTTACGGTCTGCAAATAACGTTATAAAATATCGCGGACTTATATGATACGTACAACACAGTGTTACGGTCTACAAATAACGTTATAAAATATCGCCGACGTATATGATACGTACAACACAGTGTTACGGTCTGCAAATAACGTTATAAAATATCGCGGACTCATATGATACGTACAACACAGTGTTACGGTCTACAAATAACGTTATAAAATATCGCCGACGTATATGATACGTACAACACAGTGTTACGGTCTGCAAATAACGTTATAAAATATCGCGGACGTATATGATACGTACAACACAGTGTTACGGTCTACAAATAACGTTATAAAATATCGCCGACGTATATGATACGTACAACACAGTGTTACGGTCTGCAAATAACGTTATAAAATAGTCGTATACATATGTCATTTGAATACAATATATTACACCTGATTACTAGCGAGTGAATGTATAACGATATCAATATGAACTATGTCCAGGTAAGTACAGACATACAGTATATACAATAAACGATAGATGCATCACTATTATGAACAGTATCTGTACTTATGATTAATATATTATGTATAAAGAAACTGGCTAAATTACCTGTGTGTGGCACAAAGTTCGTCAGCATTTTGATTTTGACTGTCGTAAAGGTAACGTCTGCAAAATTACAAACTTTTGAGTACAAATGAATAGACTTTTGTTCTAATGAAGATATCGGAATATAGATTTAAATAAATGACATTCAAGCAGATCCATATAGATTGATTTGAAATAACGCAGCATCTTAAAGATATAAACATAGAGGTAATTATGATCGTAATCTCTACAGTACCTAGCTTATAGTTTCCATACTACTGATCAAACACAATAACACTAGGTAGGAGTGTGGCGGATATTAAAATAGATATAAACCTACTTTACACGTTCACAGGTATTTCAAGATTACTGTTACCAAAGCGTTCGATTCATCCGTTGGTCACTCAAACACTGACCGGAACTTACAAAATACGCGAAATCAAATGAGCCAATAAAATACGACACAAGCCTATGACGTAAGACAAATTTCTGCTGACCAATGACCACACGACACTATATAAAACGGCAATAACTCGACTGAAGTATACACGAGGCTAATGAACAAGATAAAGTGTAGATATAACCTATTAAACAATATTTAACAATTACGGAGACAATACAATTCACATTGTATTAAAAGCCGATCATGCCACAGTAGCACTTTTTAATTGGTAGAGATCCCCAAAGAAAGCCCTTTTAGAATGCAAAAGAAAGCTTATTCAAAAGGAATTTTGATACACATGTTATACTCGCCTGTGTTTAATAAGGCATTGGAATCAATCTTTAAAGACAAAATCTATCTGAACGAGATAACCTCTTTAACCTCGTCAGGCGAAAAATCCTATTGTGTGTTTTTATTTGCAGGACAAAATCTGGCTATGTGACCAAAACCATGTCATTTGTTGCACGTCCATTTTTGTTTGAACACATTACAATCTCGTTTTTGTGTTCTGGCCTGTCACAACTCCGACAACTAGCAAGGCTGGCGTGCTGTGGTTTATGTGCTTTGGTTGATGTGCTATGGTCGACCAAATGACTGTTAATTGTTCGTCTTAGCATTTAAGTTTCAGTTAGAGTGATTGTTTGACCTTGATTGACTATACTTATGTTGTTGTGGTTGTTTCCATAGTGATATGAATTGCCAAAGAGATGGCGTTGATTTCCCATATTATGTTGGCAGTATACAAAGTCCTCATCACTAAAATGAAAGCTTGTATATAGCTTATATCCATGGCAGTTCCCAGACTTGTACAGAAACTTACTGGTTGAGGGACATTGTGCCTCCAAATCCCTCCCCTTGTAAATTCAAGCTATTTGCACTTCCCAACTCTCCTCCATCATTCCTGTGGAACAATGGTATATAAATAGTATCAATCCATTAAGACTTAAAAACTAAATATGTATGTATAAAGTTGAATTTGAACTGTCACCTTCTGCATGTATTTATATACAATATATATGTAAACTGTATACAATAGTCATGTAATTACCACATGTTCAGATGTTCGGGCAAAAGCCTGAGGGTGCGGGGGTTCCGCCAATGGAGAACCTACCCTTCAACTCTTCCCTGTCTGGCTGGCCTCTGCTCTTCTGTGTGAAACACTGTTGGGAAATATTTATCAAGCGAATACATCTCTCTCAACAATACAACCGCTGTTTGTTTATACATAAAAACAGAGGTAGTGCATACTTAATGGGTCCTACTTCTGTAGACAGTTTGAATTTTTTTGTCATCAGTTTCCATCACAGAGATGTCATAAAGCTAAGCTCCTCTGATGTTGGTGTCCTTTTACAACGCAGTTGATCATAATGTTGCCGACAATTTACACATTTTCTTTTGCTGAATTCCAACAAAAATTAAAAAGTTAAATGCTTGAGAGATGGCGACAGAACTCAGCTGGTAATGAGTGTTTTGATATTTGAGGAGCATCTATGAGCTTTGTGATATCTTTTCCAAACAAAAGGCAGAAAGGACAACGACTAGTGGACTGTGTAGGAGGGTCATGTGATCCTTATCTTTATTTCTTCTGGAGGTATGTCTATGCAGTCAATTTATTTCCTGAATAAATCCAAAGACCTTTACAGTCTTTACAAACAGTGCAGGTCTGGGGATGATATGAATTGGGATACACATTTTTAATCTAAAACATCTCAATTATGGGTATAAAGTAGATATGGAATTCTGTCCAATTTCAGTCACTAGAAGTCTTGGTGCTCTATACCTTGTACATGTCTTCTTTAGCAAATTTTCACCATTTGTGTTGTATTTTGTGTCTTCACTGAAAGGGTTCGTTCCACTTTAGCACAATATCAACTTAGTGCATGATGTATTTGCAACCAGCTTTGATTGTAGGTAAACCTCCAAGAACATCCATGTGTCGCTGTTCAAAATCCTCTTGAAATGGCTGTAGTGAAGTTGGTTTTCCCTGATATATTGCTTTGTCTGCTGCTAAAGTGTATACGACTGCATATCCTTGCCCTATGTTCCATTCCTGACCTTGACCCCATAGGCACCCTTACATGAACTTTATATTTCATAATGTCGCACACCTAATGTTGTCCATTGGCTGGTTGATGTGTAAAAACAACTGATTCTCTTATTATTGTTATTATTATCTTTAGTTTGATTTCTATCAGCTGTGACTGGGTCTAATGTTATTTGAAGTGGTTCTTTAGAATGATATTCAAATGCTTTGCCACTACTTTTGTTATCTGCAGGAAATGTTTGTGAGGTATACATGTTATTGAACTGATATCATTTCTCTATGACTGTTGGTTATTGTGGATGATTGTTTTGTTAATGTTTTTAAGTCATTTGACCCCAATGGCGGTTAAAGTGGGTTATGTTATTCACCAAGGCACCTTACATGTAGAATTTGAAAGGATTATTTTTAAACTTTGCTACCTACAAAATTTTTTTTTGAACTTTGACCCTACTTCAAGTTGATGTTTGGTACAAACGCAAATCCTGTGAAACATGTATTTATGGTGATTAACAAAACTTATCCAAGCTGAATGCAATTAGTTGAGCCATTGTTGAGTTGCATGGTTGAGTAGGTAAGATGGATATGAAGTCATGGTGGCCATTTTGTTTTTTCAATCTGGTTCAAAATCTCATCAATTGGTAAAATACACATGGGGAAACTTTTTCATACCAATTAAGTAAGATATTTATTACAGATCTTGGAATAATTTTAATTGAACTTTTTGTCGGCATTTTTAAAAGATCAAAGGAAATTTTCAAAATGGCGTAAAACGGTAACGAAAAACATTACGGAAAAAGTGAAGACATCAAATTCATCAGATAATCATTCTGCATTGATTTATTAAACAATTTTGAGAAATGAGAATTCTTTTGAATTATTGTTTTTTTAAGATTTTAATGTTTGATGTCATGGCGCCCATATTGGATTTTTGACCTATTTGAAAATGTTCCTGTAGCACCTTCACACCTTCATAAATAACATACTAACCAAACAATTAAAAAATTCTTTCACTCATCTAAAATTAGAGACACCACAAAATATAGCAGAAGAAAAAAAAACTTACCAAAAACAATAGGTCTTTTCATCTTTGAGTGAAAAGCTCTATGGACCAAGGAAAACCTACAAATGAGACTTGAGTAAGGTCCATACAGTATTTCTCAAGAAATAATAACAGTCTTTTTAAGGAAAAATACAAGATAGCTGCCAGTCAGTAGTTAACTTTTTCCGATCAGTCCCAAAATCAAACGAACATAAATAGGCACTAAGGAGAACGTTCATATGTAATTGCGAAAGATTGATCCAGTACTTTTTAAAAAATAGTGATAGCAAACTTTCATTGTTGAAACCCAAAATGGCCGCTTGTCAGCCATTTTGTTTCTGATCAGTCCCAAAATTAAAGGCACATGTAGTAACCTAGGGAATCCTATATATGAAACTTGATAAAGCTCCATCTTGTACTTTGACAAAATAGCAATAACAAACTATCACTGTTGAAATCCAAGATAGGCTTCTGGGCTGAATGCGTGCTATTGGTCAGAAAACTATGTTGTTTTAACAGTCTGAACATGTTAAATCCTACCTTGTATCTATAAAAGCAGGTAATATGTTCAGTATTGGTTTGATCTTTCATGATATCTGTATCCATTACGGTATCCGAATGTACTTGATAATAGATTGCTTACATCGACTTCGACACGGGGAAACAGCGAACATTGTTTACGGCGAAAGTGAACTGGACGCCGCCATTGACTATGCCGAAAGACTTTGGTTTCATGCCAACCCACATTAACATCACAGAATCCATTCGGGAATGGAAGAAAAAAGAAGTCCGACCCTCTGACCAGAAAGTCAGACAGAGACGGAGAGAGACCAGAAAGTCAGACAGAGACGGAGAGAGACCAGAAAGTCAGACAGAGACGGAGAGATGCCAGAAAGTCGGAGAGAGCGCAGAAAGTCAGACAGGGATGGAGAAATACCAGAAAGTCAGAAAGAGACGGAGAGAGAGAGAGCAGAAAATCAGACAGAGATGGCGAGAGACCAGAAAGTAAGAGATGGAGAGAGACCAGAATGTCAGAGATGGAGAGATACCAGAAAGTCAGAGATGGAGAGATACCAGAAAGTCAGACAGAGACGGAGAGAGACCAGAAAGTCAGACAGAGACGGAGAGATACCAAAAAGTCGGAGAGAGCGCAGAAAGTCAGACAGGGATGGAGAAATACCAGAAAGTCAGACAGAGACGGAGAGAGAGAGAGCAGAACGTCAGACAGAGATGGCGAGAGACCAGAAAGTAAGAGATGGAGAGAGACCAGAAAGTCAGACAGAGACGGAGAGAGACCAGAAAGTCAGACAGAGACGGAGAGATACCAAAAAGTCGGAGAGAGCGCAGAAAGTCAGACAGGGATGGAGAAATACCAGAAAGTCAGACAGAGACGGAGAGAGAGAGAGCAGAAAGTCAGACAGAGATGGCGAGAGACCAGAAAGTAAGAGATGGAGAGAGACCAGAAAGTCAGAGATGGAGAGATACCAGAAAGTCAGAGATGGAGAGATACCAGAAAGTCAGAGATGGAGAGATACCAGAAAGTCAGACAGAGACGGAGAGAGAGCAGAAAGTCAGACAGGGATGGAGAGAGAGCAGAAAGTCAGACAGAGATGGAGAGAGAGCAGAAAGTCAGACAGATGGAGAGATTGCAGAGAGTCAGACAGAGACGGAGAGAGAGCAGAAAGTCAGACAGAGATGGAGAGAGACCAGAAAGTCAGACAGAGATGGAGAGACACCAGAAAGTCAGACAGAGATGGAGAGAGACCAGAAAGTCAGACAGAGACGGAGAGAGAGCCGAAAGTCAGAGATGGAGAGAGAGCAGAAAGTCAGACAGATGGAGAGAGTGCAGAGAGTCAGACAGAGATGGAGAGAGAGCAGAAAGTCAGACAGAGATGGAGAGAGAGCAGAAAGTCAGACAGAGACGGAGAGATGCCAGAAAGTCGGAGAGAGCGCAGAAAGTCAGACAGGGATGGAGAAATACCAGAAAGTCAGACAGAGACGGAGAGAGAGAGAGCAGAAAGTCAGACAGAGATGGCGAGAGACCAGAAAGTAAGAGATGGAGAGAGACCAGAAAGTCAGACAGAGACGGAGAGAGACCAGAAAGTCAGACAGAGACGGAGAGATACCAAAAAGTCGGAGAGAGCGCAGAAAGTCAGACAGGGATGGAGAAATACCAGAAAGTCAGACAGAGACGAGAGAGAGAGAGAGAAAGTCAGACAGAGATGGCGAGAGACCAGAAAGTAAGAGATGGAGAGAGACCAGAGAGAGACCAGAAAGTCAGAGATGGAGAGATACCAGAAAGTCAGAGATGGAGAGATACCAGAAAGTCAGACAGAGACGGAGAGAGAGCAGAAAGTCAGACAGGGATGGAGAGAGAGCAGAAAGTCAGACAGAGATGGAGAGAGAGCAGAAAGTCAGACAGATGGAGAGATTGCAGAGAGTCAGACAGAGACGGAGAGAGAGCAGAAAGTCAGACAGAGATGGAGAGAGAGCAGAAAGTCAGACAGAGATGGAGAGACACCAGAAAGTCAGACAGAGATGGAGAGAGACCAGAAATTCAGACAGAGACGGAGAGAGAGCCGAAAGTCAGAGATGGAGAGAGAGCAGAAAGTCAGACAGATGGAGAGAGTGCAGAGAGTCAGACAGAGATGGAGAGAGAGCAGAAAGTCAGACAGAGATGGAGAGAGAGCAGAAAGTCAGACAGAGATGGAGAGACACCAGAAAGTCAGACAGAGATGGAGAGAGACCAGAAAGTCAGACAGAGACGGAGAGAGAGCCGAAAGTCAGAGATGGAAGGAGAGCAGAAAGTCAGACAGAGATGGAGAGAGAGCAGAAAGTCAGACAGAGACGGAGAGAGAGCAGAAAGTCAGACAGAGATGGAGAGAGAGCAGAAAGTCAGACAGAGACGGAGAGAGAGCAAAAAGTCAGACAGAGACGGAGAGAGACCAGAAAGTCAGACAGGGATGGAGAGAGAGCAGAAAGTCAGACAGGGATGGAGAGAGAGCAGAAAGTCAGACAGAGATGGAGAGAGAGCAGAAAGTCATACAGAGGCGGAGAGAGAACAGACAGACAGACAGACAGACATTCTTCATTTCCTCTTTTAAGAGATTACATATGTCAGATCATTTTACAAAATACGTCTTGGTTTATATTTAAACAAATTTGAAATCATATATACAGTATTTGTGAATTTCTTATAATTTTTCACACTATTTCATTAACGCTATGCATTGCGTCGTTGTTGTTTTTTTCATTTCATTAGACATTGTGTTCATAGTTTGTGAGAGGTTGATCATCAGATTCTCCCAGACATCATCTGTAAGATGTATAACACTACGATCTCCTAACAGAAAACTACACTGCTCCTGCTCATCCAGGTTGGAAAACACAATAAAGTCATTGACGTCAATAATGTTAACTACTTGATTAAATAACAAATCCCTACTTTTGTATGACTTTGGACATATTATCAGGAAATGAAGAATTATATCGTCCGACTTCTTTCCACACAACCGACATATCAACGTCTCTGTTACATACAGAAACGACATTTTCACCATTTCAGTTATTTCCCAAGCAACTATAGATGATTTTCGCTTACTTAGCTGTAACACCGGATTCACTCCCTGGTAAGAATGAATCTTTGCGTATCTGTGCAACTCCAGTCTACATGTCATATCTTCGCGCCATTGCCGATCGTAAAAGTCGCTCAAAAAACGTTTCAGAAAACGACTCCAGCATGCTTTGGGAGGTACGAGCTCGTTGAATATGAAATCGTTCACAAAGGAAACTATTCCAAACTTCTGAAAGATTTGAAGTATGTCAGGTATGAAGCCTATTCGGAGGTTATAGCAAGGGCCATATATGACATCCAAGAGACGTACAAGGAATATTGCCTTCCATATATATGAAATGCTACCGTTGCATAACTTGTTCCAAAACATTAACTTCTGTGTTTCTATCGCGTTACATATTGACGGTATACCAAGTGATTGGGTGGTTGCCAAAGTCGATGATGTTTTTGGAAGACCAAGACATCGTCTACATGCGCATCTTAGTGTTTTCTCTAACTCTAGAATAGCATTTTTTGTGTAAGAGTTCCATAATTCGCAGCCATACAGCATAGTTGGTAATACTACAAGTTTTACAATGTTTGCACTAATTAACGGATGCCTTCCATTTTGATGGATTCCGATTCCTACCAATGAGTTTAGTGATTTCCGTCCCTTTTTACCTGCTTCAATCATTGAACAAGTCGAATTGAGATTCGAGGTAAATCCTACACCTGCATAGGTTTTTGTTGTTGTCCACTGTATTTCCTTATTTCCAACAGTTAACGTCCGTGAGGGAGATCCTACACGCGATCGGCTAGCGGAAAATGCCACCAAAGAGCTTTTATTGGAGTTGTATATAAGTCTCCATTGACAAGAGTATTTGTAAACGATATCCAGTTCATTTTGTAGCAACTGCATTGATGCAGCAAGAACCAGCGTGTCATCAGCCTGCAATATACAAGGTATATGGATGTTGCTTATCAGCAGACCAGAATGCCCAACGTCAAGTTGCAATGCGAGGTCATCTATCATTACCAAAAAGCACCACGCTGACAGCACTCGGCCTTGACCGACGCCTTGCAGGATTTGGTACTGATCACTTCGCCTCCCGTCGTACAAGACAGTAGAAAATTCATCAATGAAAGAGTCGTATAGAAGTCGCCAGCATTTGCCATTGATGCCAAGGTGGTACAATTTAAACATCAGCCCACGGATCCAAACACTGTTGAACGCCTTCTGGTTTTCCAAAAAGGCGGCAAAAACTTTTGATTTTCCTTCAAGATAGTACGCGATCGATTCTTTCACGGCAAAAGCAGCGGTGATACTACCACATTGTTCGCGGAAGCCCTGCTGTAACGGGTGAGGAAATATAGTACCTTTGCTGGATAAAAGGATACGTTTATACAGTATTTTTTCAAATAATTTCTGTAACACAGATGTAAGTGTTATGTCCCTATAGTTGTTCATATCAAGTCGATCACGCTTCCCACCCTTGAACAGAGTTATGACAACACCCAATTTGAAATGGCTCGGGTACAATTCGAACTTTAGCATCCCATTATATATGTCGACTATGGCATCTATCAGACTGTCACTGGCAAATTTGATAGGTTCCGTCACGATAGAGTCGTGACCACTAGCCTTTCCATTTTTCATATCTTTAAGATTACGTTTAAGTTCATCTGAGGTTATGGGGTAGCTACAAATATTGTCGTCATTGGAGAAGCTAGCAGTGTGCATGGATTCAACACTTCCTTTTACGTATTCTTTGAAACTATTGCTAAAGTGCGATTGACATGTTGATTTGGCTAATTCACTGAAATGTTGCATCCACGCATTCCTTACTTCATCGGGGTCGCGTATAATTTTACCGTCAACACGAAGTTCATGTGATGTGACATTGCTATTGTTAGACAGCTTCCTCTTTGTTCTGACGGCCTGGTGAAACGTTCCGATGTCAATATTAGCAAGTTCTTCAAGTTTTTCGAACTGCTTGCGCTCATACGCTTCACGTGCTTTAACAAGTTCAGTACGAAACATCGTTTTAGCATTTTTATAGTTCCGATATGAAACGAATTGAAAACCTCTTGGTCGCCCTTCGTTTATCCAGATTGCTCGCAAATGTCTCATAGTATTATGTAGAGGCTTTACATTGTAATCTTTCCAGTACGGCTTTAGATAATGTCGATACCTTTTACTAGGGAGAGCAGAAGACGAAGCATTATTTAGTATGTCAACAACACTTTTAACGGCTTGGTTGATGCTGTTACTACTGTTGACGTCAATATGGTGATCATTCATTATAATATCTAATAGCCTTTTGTATTCTCTAACATTTTCATCGGAGACTTTTTTCCAGTTCACGCTACGAGGTGACACATTGGTAGCATGTTTGGTAGATTTAACCGATATTATACAGCGAACCGGAATATGATCGGATACATTTAAGTAGTGATCGTCGCATATCATGCATTCGTTTACAAAGTCCAGTTTGGATGCAGATAGAAGTATATAATGGATCATCGTTGCACGGGTTCCGTCTCCAGACATATAGGTATAATCAGGACCACTGGCCCAACTTTGTGAGTTCAGCGACACCAAAAATCGGTCTCTCATAAATTGATCTAGAAGTTTTCCACGATCGTTGAAGTAAACATGATTTTTTGAACCAAATTCTTTAGACAAATGAGCATTGAAATCACCTATTAGTATGAAAACACCATTTTCTGCGTATCGATCATAAATATCACACAGGAGTTCTTTTCTGAATAGGCTCCCAATGACGAGTTTGAGGACGGCATTAGGACTCCAAATATATAGATATCTATGCCAGATGCAGGTACACATAGCCCAATTATTCGATCATCTCCCTCCTGGCGTAGCTTTTATATCTTTCCTCCACATGAGTGCGACGCCGCCGTACCCACGTTTGGATGGATCAACGTTTATTCGAGCATCAGATCTGCCGTAAGCGTGGAATTTACTGTCGATACTGTGGAAGAAGTCTAGCTGTTCTGGCATCAACAGTGTTCACAGAGAAAAGCCACATCAACTTTATCCAGTGCATTACATAAGTAGGGTGTGCCAAACATAATACCGCGTGTGTTCCAACTGAAGATTCGCATAATAAGATATACGCTTAAAAATAAAAAGAGAGTCCTTATCTTAATAGCCATCCGATTCTGCCTCATTCCATTCACGCCGAGCGTCCTCATAGCCGCGGTCACGCTTGCTACGTTTGTGCGACATATCCTCCAGATAGCGATCATCGGCTTTCCCATCAAAGCGACTGTTATGTCGATAGCCGTCGTTGCCACGCATATCCCCGGAGCGGTCCGGCATTAATGGCGATTTTTCACGAATGTACCACTCGCGTACAAGAACTCCTTTTGGTCAGAACGACTTTTCTAATGCTCGCTGGAAGTCTTCAGCTACCATATTTACACGAGCTGTGTACGTTGGATCAGAACCATCCCAGTATTTCAGAAGTCTAACAAATGTGACCTGCACGTCATTCCTCGCTGCATACGTTGATATCGAGTTTACGACGTCTCTTGATGTTCCATTTGCTTTAATCCTCGACATCAGCAGGCGTTTTACTTTTGGTTTTCGCGTGACACCTTGAAACACATATTTCGATTCCTCAGTGGTGCGGCTATCAGCATTTTGGTATGGCATGTTCCTGCGCATAGTACACACTCCCGTTTTGACATGACAGTTTTTGTCCAAAAATGTGTGCACTATACGCGGAAATTTACGGTATGTTCCTGGGATGAAGCCTTACCAGGTTTGCGAAAAGAAATAACCTTGACCTATATTTAAGGTCACAGGCATCATATTTGTTAAAACAATTTCTCTCATGAACTTTAATCCCAGGAGGCAGAACACTTGGCTAGTATGTTCCTAGGATACAGCCTGCAAAAAGGAACGACCTTGACTTATATTCCAAGTCAGCAAACAGGAACTTGGGCATACCAACTACACCAAATATGTAGTTTAAAATTAAGCAATTTCAAACTCCAAATTATTGTCCTCTTTCTGTGATATACATCCCTTAATTTTACAATTTTCATGATTTTTTTTACAATATTCAGAAATAATTCATGGTAATAAATTATAGATCACATCATAGCATGGATATGGCCCTTTACTTAATTTTCAGTTTTAATGTGTTACAATTCAGTTCTCAAATCACTCATCATCACAAATTTAAATCTCTTGTACACATTGATTCATGTAACATTTCTGACAATCTTAAATTAGTACAAATAATGTTCAGCAGTAACATACTGCTACTAAGTCTGTATACTATATAACTTCTGATTTTCTCATTCTCAGATTACTGATCATTTAAATAATGAATTCTACATCCACTTTTGTTTTCGTCAAATGAATTTTGAAAAAAAATATACACCAGGTGTGTGCTGTAGGGTCATTGTTTTTCTACTCTGAGCCAAAATAAAAGGAGCACAACTAAGGATAAAGAGGAACCTACATGTGAAATCTGAGGCAGATCCATCAGGTATTCTCACGCTGCTGCGACAATTACTTTGTTTACAGAAGGATGGCTGGATGGACAAAATGTTTGTGATTCCGAGAAACAGTAACACCTAAGTTACCATGTGTCTAAAACATCAATGTTACTTTAATTCTATTCTATTTGTGTCTGCCGGATAAACAGCCAGGGTTATTTTGAGGCAAGGTCTTCTAGAAGCTAGTGACTACCTTACTGAACAACATACCACCAACAATAATAAGGGTTAAGTGACTTGCCTAAGGACACAACCACATCAGCACAGACTGGTCCATTCTACAGCATTATTAGAATATAGAAAATAGCCACAAGAAGACAGCATTTAACACGCCTTAGAGTTAACATAAACCAATGCTCTGACTGAGATATCGCAGCCCTATGATATCTCTTTATGTCTGAAACTATAGAAACCAAGAAAATATAACAACAAATTCACAGATGCTACAAGAAGAAAGAATCATAAAGGAAACCAAACTCTGCCGGGTAAAACTTTATTATGCATTTTATTACATGTACATTTATATAAAACATTACATATTAACCCTGAAGACAGAAAAGCTATGAGTATAAGATTTTGTGTGGTTAATTAACAATTCTTACAACCAGTTTCAATGTTGTGGAATATACTGACTTCTGTATGATAACTTGTTATCTCAAGTCCACATAGAACTATTGTGGAGTAAGTAGATAATGTCTATTTCCCAATATCTCCCAAGCAACATTATATAACACCTCTTGAAATGGCTCAGGCCTGTTCAATTTATTCTGGAAATATATATCATTTGATTAAATCTTGCTTTGATATTTTTTTCTTGTGTTCAACATAAACATTTTACCTAGTTGACATCAAGAAGGTCACATTCAGTGATTAAATGTCGGGTGATTTCTGTAGAATTATCCAAATCAATAAACATACAAATCCTCAATGCTTTCAGTTTTCAATGTGGTGTAGTGTTTATATAATCTGAAATAGTAGGGGTATTTACAAATTCATTCAAACCTATGAAGATAATATTTACATTGGATGTTACATGTGGTGAAAATCCAAGCAATTTAATAACAGTTTGGCACTTTTAACTGAATTATCTTTCATTTGTTGATTAAAGGTTGTCATTATAAGGGAACTAAATAAGAGTTTAATAAAATAAAATGATCTGATCAACAATCCTGTGTAATCACGTCCCTATTACACATCGGTGTCATCACATGACCTTAAGGTCAAAAGGTCAAATAAAATATTCAGTGACTGTAAATAACGAGAATAGTCTGCCTAGTCTTATTAACATATATATCATCATCTAGGTTTAAACTAAACATCATGATACTTTGTAGTCAATATGAACTAAATACATCGAGAGATTCTTAGGATATGACATTGACTTGGTACAGGATGTGACATCACCAGGAGGAGAGGCATACGTTAGCCTACATCCCCTGCTCTAAAAATTGGTTGGGGCATGAAAAGACTGAAGACAAAGGCAGGATCATGTTTTGATGAAGGTCTCTTCATCAGGGACAGAAGTATACAACTTTTGATGAAGGTCTCTTCATCAGGGACAGAAGTATACAACCTCATAATATTACATGCTTGATTATCATTACTTCCTTCACTAAACACCAGTTGTATCAATTACACCAGTCTATCAATTACAACAGTCTATCAATTACACCAATCTATCAATTACAACAGTCTATCAATTACACCAATCTATCAATTACAACAGTCTATCAATTACACCAATCTATCAATTACAACAGTCTATCAATTACACCAATCTATCAATTACACCAGTTGTATCAATTACACCAGTCTATCAATTATCAATTACACCAGTTGTATCAATTACACCAGTCTATCAATTATCAATTACACATGTTGTATCAATTACACCAGTCTATCAATTACACCAGTCTACCAATTACACCAGTCTATCAATTACACCAATCTATCAATTACACCAGTTGTATCAATTACACCAGTCTATCAATTACACCAATCTACCAATTACAACAGTCTACCAATTACACCAGTCTATCAATTATCAATTACACATGTTGTATCAATTACACCAGTCTATCAATTACACCAGTTGTATCAATTACACCAGTTGTATCAATTACACCAGTCCATCAATTATACCATTTGTATTAATTACACCAATCTATCAATTACACCAGTCTATCAATTACACCAGTCTATCAATTACACCAGTTGTATCAATTACACCAGTTGTATCAATTACACCAGTCCATCAATTATACCATTTGTATTAATTACAACAGTCTATCAATTACACCAGTTGTATCAATTACACCAGTCTATCAATTATCAATTACACATGTTGTATCAATTACACCAATCTATCAATTACACCAGTTGTATCAATTACACCAGTCTATCAATTATCAATTACACATGTTGTATCAATTACACCAGTCTATCAATTACACCAGTTGTATCAATTACACCAGTTGTATCAATTACACCAGTCCATCAATTATACCATTTGTATTAATTACACCAATCTATCAATTACACCAGTCTATCAATTACACCAGTCTATCAATTACACCAGTTGTATCAATTACACCAGTTGTATCAATTACACCAGTCCATCAATTATACCATTTGTATTAATTACAACAGTCTATCAATTACACCAGTTGTATCAATTACACCAGTCTATCAATTACACCAGTCAATCAATTATCAATTACACCAGTCTATCAATTACACCAGTCTTATCAATAAATTCCAAGGCAGGAATATGAAAGGCACCAATTTGTACATTGTACTTGAAAAGAAGGTAATGATGAATGACTCCAATTTAAGCATCATACTCATTCATCCGTGAAAGGAATGTAATAATGAATTACTCCAATTTAAATATCATACTCGTTCACCCATAGGAGGAATGTATTAAGAAAGACTCTAATATGAACATCAAATTAATATATCTGTGGCAGGAATGTAATAATGAATGACTCCAGTGTGATCATCATACTCATTCATCTGTTGCAGAAACATATTCTGACTGACTGCAATCTGGACTTTACATTCCTGCATCACTAGCAGAAATATAATATGACAGTAAAAGTTGTGATTTCTGAAACATTCTCCTTTTCAAGAACAGATTAAACCCCCACAAAAAAATAGTCATTTTGAAAATATAATTTGAAAAAAGAACAATCTTTTTTATGACTTCTATGAATAATACATTTCTGCTATATCAAGCTTTTTGCAATCGGTCAAAATTTTAACCATATAAAAACTAATGGTATGGTATAGTACTCAATCATCATGTGCAGGGATATAATTGCTGTACCACTGACGACCCTGACCTATGAACAGCTCCGGTTTGACCAGTTCACCATAGTAGTTAAAGATTGTGAGAGACTCGCGGCGACAAACAATACAAATCTCAGCAAGGTGATTGTCATTGACCTGGTCACAGAATTCAAGGTTTAGGTAGGTGAGGTCTGTTCCATACACAGTAGATCTGTGGGGCATATAGATGTCTGTGTATTCCTGTTAGTGAACAAAAATTACATGTACATGATAGAAATATTGGTAGAATTTCAAATTCATTATAAACTGATCTACACATGAAGGAAAGGATTCAACAAAAAACATTTTGTCTTTATTTTGTCACATGTCTTAATCTCACTATCTTCTGCTACATTATAACATATTTAGCACCAAAGAAATGATGACGAGTGTGTTAAAAATTTACTATGAAATAAGGGAGACAACCATTACAAATGCTTCTGCCATATTTACTTCCCTTGATTAGAACTCTTGTGATTGGAAGACGACTTGGATGTTACCTTAATAATGAATAAAATAATGGAAAGGCTGGAATTTGTTACAACTTAAAAGTGTATTAACAGATCAATATACTGAACTTAACTGGCAATAAACCTGGTGATAAGGCTAACATATGTCCTAGTATACTGCGATTCAGTCAACTTATAAACCAATGCAATGTCATAGCAACAAGCTTTTAGTTAGTGTTGCATGCATGTTGCTAGTCACCTACAGTAAATTAAATTTTCTAACATAGGTCTTGATAGCAGAGGTTTATATTCTGTCTCAATGAAAAGGTATATATTGATATCAACAGGCTCATTTACATGCTTCACCTTGTCTTTGTTTTACACACTATCTAAAGCTTTTCCATAATAATTTGACAATAAATCCATGGCAGGTAATAAGCCCAGTCTGACTTTGAGTAAAGCTCTATGTTAGAGGTAGGGACTTAATGTAGGATATAATAATGAGATACTCAGCTCACCTCATCACTTGATGTTCCAGCATCAGCTGAAGCAGCAGCAACTGACCTCTCGTGTAACTTCAGTCGAAGCAAAGCCTGACACCTTCGCCATTGTCTCAAATCTGTGAAATACATCAGGTTAATTACAATAAATCCAGGCCAACATTATCATTTCTCTGTATCATTGTAAAAACCAATATCGACATAATTTGGAATTAATGTTTATTTTCAGTACATTTGTATAAACATCCTAGGAATCTAATCAGAGAAAACACTGTAAAATAATGAAATAATCCTGTATCACATGATGTTGAGGCTGTATATAACAGTTGTATGATAAAGAGCTATTTGTGTTCTACATAGAAAACCAGATTCCAATGAAAATGTGTCATCACCGTTTCAGGTAAGACATCGCAACTTCATTGCATTGAAAACAAGAGTGCCGTGGACACAATATACGCCGCAACAAAATATAAAGATCAGGATTGGTCCTTTTAATTATCGCTTTTAACAAGTTGATAGATCATCTTTACAAGAAATATATGGTTTTAATGGTGAACAGTAAAATCGCCCCTTCATGCACAAGGCTCCACTATGAGCAAGCTACAGATACAAAGTTGAAAATGGCAAAAATCTTACAAAAATCAACAAACCAAAAAATCGCCCTGTCATGCACATCTACCCATTGTAGTAGTGACATTGAGCAAGTTGGGAGGAGTTGCCTTCACAAGAAATGGACGGACGAATGGACGGACAGATGGAGAAGATGACACCAATATACGACCGCCTCCAATGGTGTATAAAACAAGAGGCATATAAGGCCTGTATTGCTCACCAACATTTTAAGGCCTAACAACAGTATACATGTCTATGGGTTTGGTATGTCAAATATTTCAAAATTACAGCACAGTCACTTAACCTCTTTGGTAAGGCAAGACCAATGGGTTAGTTCTTGTGATTGTCATCCTCTTTTGAAAACCCTGTGTTTATACATTTATTCGAATAAGATCTCTCCTGTTTCAAATATATGACCTTGTAGTTAAGTCCCAGAGTAATACCACATGCAAAGATCAAATCAATTTTTACATCAAAAAAGTGTTTACCTCTGGATGCCAAGCAATTCTGTATATGGTTATGGGGTGGGGACCATTTCAATGATATAACCCAGAAATTAAGTCCAGAGGTCTGGAGCTACACCCAAGAGCTAGTTCTTACATCTTGTGTTTATTTATTGATGATCATTGTTGCAATGTATGGGGTGGGCATCTCAACTGTTTTCAAAGATATATCCTGCTTTCCCCTATCAAGCCCTTTCCCTCCTTCCCAAGGGAGCCAGGATCAACCATTCATACAAAATTAATTTCCCATTACCCAAAATTGTTTCAGACCAAATTTGGACAAAATCCAACCATTCTTACTGGGGGAAAAAAATTTAAAAGAACCATATTTCTAAAAGTCTCATATAAATCTCTTTCTTAAAGTTTCAGATAAATCTATTTCTTAAAGTATGATAAATCTATTTCTAAAAGTTTCAGATAAATCTATCTTTTAGAGTTTCAGATAAATATATATCATAAAGTTTCAGATAAATCTTTTATTAAAGTCTCAGATAAATCTATTTCTTAAAGTTTCAGATAAATCTATTTCTTAAAGTTTCAGATAAATCTATTGGTTTCAGATAAATCTATTCCTTAAAGTTTCAGATAAATCTATTGGTTTCAGATAAATCTATTTCTTATAGTTTCAGATAAATCTTTTATTAAAGTCTCAGATAAATCTATTTCTAAAAGTTTCAGATAAATCTATCTATTAGAGTTTCAGATAAATTTATTTCTAATAGTTTCAGATAAATCTATTTCTTAAAGTTTCAGATAAATCTATTTCTGAAAGTTTCAGATAAATCTTTTATTAAAGTCTCAGATAAATCTATTTCTAAAAGTTTCAGATAAATCTATCTCTTAGAGTTTCAGATAAACATATTTCTTATAGTTTCAGATAAATATATATCTTAAAGTTTCAGATAAATCTATTTCTTATAGTTTCAGATAAATCTTTTTATTAAAGTCTGATAAATCTATTGCTTAAAGTTTCAGATAAGATTTGCTACAAAATCTTTATGTAACCATCATTCCATAATGTTTTTCATTAGAATTACACCACATAATAAACCCACTTGATATAAGGGGTAGGAAGGGTTCAGATGTTATAGTTTTCAAGCCAGCTAGGTCTGCTCTCTGTAGTCTCTGGCAATTCTTTAATAATGCTGATATACTCCTGTTGGAGACTCCTGCAGAGACAAAAGGATGTTCTATATAATCTGTTATACAATCAGACAAAGCAATTATCTACACATCTCTAACAAACCTGTGTTATAACAAAGGTTCAGAGACTAACATTCATGATCTCTGTCCTGTCTCATTAAAGCTTACATTCAGGTGAAGTGATGACCACAATATGGCAGCTATACAAACAAATATTTGTATTTCTTCACATAACACCATCATTGAACTGTCCAATACTTGTTAATACAACATTTGGCATTATAAATGGAACAGATCATGAAATAAAAAAACTATCTAACAAAGGGCTGTAACTCTTTAGTAATGTTTGGTGACTTCTGTATACGGATATCTTCCAATGTAGTTCTTACCCAAGTTCCAGCTAAAGTCAACATGCTCCAGGGTACGGATACTTTCCACCAGGTTGACAACTGCATCGTCTGTGATCCCGTCTACACTGGACATATTGAGACTAGTTAAGAGGTGGAAGTTTGAAGCAATCAGTGAAAGTGTTTTATCATTGGCTGCAAGCTGTCTTATACTGAGTTTACGTAAAGTGTCAGATGTTTTACCAAACAGTCGATCAAGACCCACACTGCTTGTGTCATCACACCACGACAAGTCCAGCTCTCTCATCTGTAACAAATATCAAATCATGCTAAGTTAGTTAGGTAGCAGCCAATCAAATTCCTGCCATATCTAGCATACACACTTTTGTTTAACTTTTCAACAAATCAGTGGCCTCAATATTATGTAATTAGTTTACAATTATTGATAATTGGAACAGACACATCTTCTCCCAAGAGAACAATTTTCACTTGTAAGTTATAGCAATCACTAATTAATAGGTTACATGTGATTGGCTATTGAGCCAATTAAAAATAAGGTTACATGTAATTGATTAATGAGCCAATTAAAAATAAGGTTACATGTCATTGGTTAATGAGCTAATCACAAATAAGGTTACATGTCATTGGTTAATAAGCCATTTAAAAAAAAGGTTAAATGTCACTGATTAATGAGCCAATCACAAATAAGGTTACATGTCATTGGTTAATGAGCCATTTAAAAATAAGGTTACATGTCACTGATTAATGAGCCAATCACAAATAAGGTTACATGTCATTGGTTGATGAGTCATTTAAAAATAAGGTTACATGTCACTGATTAATGAGCCAATCACAAATAAGGTTACATGTCATTGTTTAAAGAGCCAATCACAAATAAGGTTACATATCATTTGCCAATGAAAGTAGCTAATCAGGAATACATAAAATATGAAAATGCTACCTTTTCCATCTTGTGTTTGGACATCCTAGTGAGAGTGTGGTCAGTGATACGACACTCAGCCAGGTTTAGACTCTCCAGGCAGCCATTGTTGATAAAAGGGATCATAGCAAAGTCTTGTATAAACGTCACACCTTCAGTAAAACACAACATACACCACTGTTATTTTTAAATTTGAATAAAATTATGGCAAAGTATTCAAAACTCAAAAAAGTTCCAGTCAGTCAGATTACTCAGTTTACATATATTTATACCCATTTTAACATAGTCTTCTGTTTACACTAAAATACATAAAAAAAATTACACTTGTTTACTCTTCATTGTAAAATTAAAACCTAATTATTTGCATTAATCGTATTGGTAAAAGCTGAATTGTGATGAAAGTTTATTATGAATGAATATAGCCAAAATACCAAGATATTTCTTTTTTAGTACTGTACTAACCAATAGTCTTGTGGCATACTGATTTCTCTTCTTTGAAAGATGAAATCATTTGAATAAATTATAATTTACTATTGTGTTGTTTATGACTTCTGAGTAATTCCATATATATACTGAATGTAAAAACATTATTGTAATAATCACTTGTGAATGTAATTACTGCAGAACACAGGGAAACTACCACTGTAATTTAACTTCTGTCTGTTCTACTATTTTGCCTATAGAGTGAATGTAAATGGTGGAGTTATGTTTATGATGAAGTTCATATGTACCTATGTACCTAATGAGTTCTACCCTCTATGTACCTAATGAGTTCTACCCTCTATGTACCTAATGAGTTCTACCCTCTATGTACCTAATGAGTTCTACCCTCTATGTACCTAATGAGTTCTACCCTCTATGTACCTAATGAGTCATACCCTCTATGTACCTAATGCGTTCTAACCTCTATGTACCTAATGAGGTCTACCCTCTATGTACCTAATGAGTTCTATCCTCTATGTACTGAATGAGTTCTACCCTCTATGTACCTAATGAGTTCTACCCTCTATGGACCTAATGAGTTTTACCCTCTATGTACCTAATGAGTTCTACCCTCTATGTACTGAATGAGTTCTACCCTCTATGTACCTAATGAGTTCTACCCTCTATGTACCTAATGAGTTCTACCCTCTATGTACCTAATGATGTACCTAATGAGTTCTACCCTCTATGTACCTAATGAGTTCTACCCTCTATGTACCTAATGAGTCATACCCTCTATGTACCTAATGCGTTCTAACCTCTATGTACCTAATGAGTTCTACCCTCTATGTACCTAATGAGTTCTACCCTCTAAGTACCTAATGAGTTCTACCCTCTATGTACCTCTATGTACCTAATGAGTTCTATCCTCTATGTACTGAATGAGTTCTACCCTCTATGTACCTAATGAGTTCTACCCTCTATGTACCTAATGAGTTCTACCCTCTATGTACCCTCTATGTACCTAATGATGTACCTAATGAGTTCTACCCTCTATGTACCTAATGAGTTCTACCCTCTTTGTACCTAATGAGTTCTACCCTCTATGTACTGAATGAGTCATACCCTCTATGTACCTAATGAGTTCTACCCTCTATGTACCTAATGAGTTCTACCCTTTATGTACCCAATGAGTTCTACCCTCTATGTACCCAATGAGTTCTTCCCTCTATGTACCTAATGAGTTCTACCCTCTATGTACCTAATGAGTTCTACCCTCTATGTACCTAATGAGTTCTACCCTCTATGTACTGAATGAGTTCCTAATGAGTTCTACCCTCTATGTACCTAATGAGTTCTACCCTCTATGTACCTAATGAGTTCTACCCTCTATGTACCTAATGAGTTCTACCCTCTATGTACCTAATGAGTTCTACCCTCTATGGACCTAATGAGTTTTACCCTCTATGTACCTAATGAGTCATACCCTCTATGTACCTAATGAGTCATACCCTCTATGTACCTAATGCGTTCTAACCTCTATGTACCTAATGAGTTCTACCCTCTATGTACCTAATGAGTTCTACCCTCTAAGTACCTAATGAGTTCTACCCTCTATGTACCTAATGAGTTCTACCCTCTATGTACCTAATGAGTTCTACCCTCTATGTACCTAATGAGTCATGAGTTCTACCCTCTATGTACCTAATGAGTTCTACCCTCTATGGACCTAATGAGTTTTACCCTCTATGTACCTAATGAGTTCTAACCTCTATGCACTGAATGAGTTCTACTCTCTATGTACCTAATGAGTTCTACCCTCTATGTACCTAATGAGTTCTACCCTCCATGTACCTAATGAGTTCTACCCTCTATGTACCTAATGAGTTCTACCCTTTATGTACCCAATGAGTTCTACCCTCTATGTACCCAATGAGTTCTACCCTCTATGTACCTAATGAGTTCTACCCTCTATGTACCTAATGAGTTCTACCCTCTATGTACCTAATGAGTTCTACCCTCTATGTACCTAATGAGTTCTACCCTCTATGTACCTAATGAGTTCTACCCTCTATGTACCTAATGAGTTCTACCCTCTATGTACCTAATGAGTTCTACCCTCTATGTACCTAATGAGTTCTACCCTCTATGTACCTAATGAGTTCTACCCTCTATGTACCTAATGAGTTCTACCCTCCATGTACCTAATGAGTTCTACCCTCTATGTACCTAATGAGTTCTACCCTCTATGTACCTAATGTACCCTCTATGTACCTAATGAGTTCTACCCTCTATGTACCTAATGAGTTCTACCCTCTATGTACCTAATGAGTTCTACCCTCTATGTACCTAATGAGTTCTACCCTCTATGTACCTAATGAGTTCTACCCTCTATGTACCTAATGAGTTCTACCCTCTATGTACCTAATGAGTTCTACCCTCTATGTACCTAATGAGTTCTAACCTCTATGTACCTAATGAGTTCTACCCTCTATGTACCTAATGAGTTCTACCCTCTATGTACCTAATGAGTTCTACCCTCTAAGTACCTAATGAGTTCTACCCTCTATGTACCTAATGAGTTCTACCCTCTATGTACCTAATGAGTTCTACCCTCTATGTACCTAATGAGTGATACCCTCTATGTACCTAATGAGTTCTAGCCTCTATGTACCTAATGAGTTCTACCCTGTACCCTCTATGTACCTAATGAGTTCTATGTACCCTCTATGTACCTAATGAGTTCTACCCTCTATGTACCTAATGAGTTCTACCCTCTATGTACCTAATGAGTTCTACCCTCTACCCTCTATGTACCTAATGAATGTACCTAATGAGTTCTACCCTCTATGTACCTAATGAGTTCTACCCTCTATGTACCTAATGAGTTCTACCCTCTATGTACCTAATGAGTTCTACCCTCTATGTACCTAATGAGTTCTACCCTCTATGTACCTAATGAGTTCTACCCTCTATGTACCTAATGAGTTCTACCCTCTATGTACCTAATGAGTTCTACCCTCTATGTACCTAATGAGTTCTACCCTCTATGTACCTAATGAGTACTACCCTCTATGTACCTAATGAGTTCTACCCTCTATGTACCTAATGAGTTCTACCCTCCATGTACCTAATGAGTTCTACCCTCTATGTACCTAATGAGTTCTACCCTCTATGTACCTAATGAGTTCTACCCTCTATGTACCTAATGAGTTCTACCCTCTATGTAGTTCTACCCTCTATGTACCTAATGAGTTCCCCCTCTATGTACCTAATGAGTTCTACCCTCTATGTACCTAATGTGTTATATCCTCTATGTACCTAATGAGTTCTACCCTCTATGTACCTAATGAGTTCTACCCTCTATGTACCTAAAGAGTTCTACCCTCTATGTACCTAATGAGTTCTACCCTATATGTTCCTAATGAGTTCTACCCTCTATGTACCTAATGAGTTCTACCCTCTATGTACCTAATGAGTTCTACCCTCTATGTACCTAATGAGTTCTACCCTCTATGTACCTAATGAGTACCTAATGAGTTCTACCCTCTATGTACCTAATGAGTTCTACCCTCTATGTACCTAATGAGTTCTACCCTCTATGTACCTAATGAGTTCTACCCTCTATGTACCTAATGAGTTCTACCCTCTATGTACCTAATGAGTTCTACCCTCTATGTACCTAATGAGTTCTACCCTCTATGTACCTAATGAGTTCTACCCTCTATGTACCTAATGAGTTCTACCCTCTATGTACATAATGAGTTCTACCCTCTATGTACCTAATGAGTTCTACCCTCTATGTACCTAATGAGGTCTACCCTCTATGTACCTAATGAGTTCTACCCTCTATGTACTGAATGAGTTCTACCCTCTATGTACCTAATGAGTTCTACCCTCTATGTACCTAATGAGTTCTACCCTCTGTGTACCTAATGAGTTCTACCCTCTTTGTACCTAATGAGTTCTACCCTCTATACCTAATGTTCCCTAATGAGTTCCTCTATGTACCTAATGAGTTCTACCCTCTATGTACCTAATGAGTTCTAATGAGTTCCCTCTATGTACCTAATGAGTTCTACCCTCTATGTACCTAATGAGTTCTACCCTCTATGTACCCTAATGAGTTCTACCCTCTATGTACCTAATGAGTTCTACCCTCTATGTACCTATGTACCTGAGTTCTACCCTCTATGTACCTAATGAGTTCTACCCTATGTACCTAATGTTCTACCTCTATGTACCTGAATGAGTTCTACCCTCTATGTACCTATGTACCCTAATGAGAGTTCTACCCTCTATGTACCTAATGAGTTCTTCCCTCTATGTACCTAATGAGTTCTACCCTCTATGTACCTAATGAGTTCTACCCTCTATGTACCTAATGAGTTCTACCCTCTATGTACTGAATGAGTTCCACCTTCTATGTACCTAATGAGTTCTAACCTCTGTGTACCTAATGAGTTCTACCCTCTATGTACCTAATGAGTTCTACCCTCTATGTACCTAATGAGTTCTACCCTCTATGTACTGAATGAGTTCTACCCTCTATGTACCTAATGAGTTCTACCCTCTATGTACCTAATGAGTTCTACCCTCTATGTACCTAATGAGTTCTACCCTCTATGTACCTAATGAGTTCTACCCTCTATGGGCCTAATGGGTTCTACCCTCTATGTACCTAATGAGTTATACCCTCTATGTACCTAATGAGTTCTACCCTCTAAGTACCTAATGAGTTCTACCCTCTATGTACCTAATGAGTTCTACCCTCCTAATGAGTTCTACCCTCTATGTACCTAATGAGTTCTACCCTCTATGGACCTAATGGGTTCTACCCTCTATGTACCTAATGAGTTATACCCTCTATGTACCTAATGAGTTCTACCCTCTATGTACCTAATGAGTTCTACTCTCCTAATGAGTTCTACCCTCTATGTACCTAATGAGTTCTACCCTCTATGTACCTAATGAGTTCTACCCTCTATGTACCTAATGAGTTCTACCCTCTATGTACCTAATGAGTTCTACCCTCTATGTACCTGATGAGTTCTACCCTCTATGTACCTAATGAGTTCTACCCTCTATGGACCTAATGGGTTTTACCCTCTATGTACCTAATGAGTTCTACCCTCTATGTACCTAATGCGTTCTAACCTCTATGTACCTAATGCGTTCTAACCTCTATGTACCTAATGAGTTCTACCCTCTATGTACCTAATGAGTTATATCCTCTATGTACTGAATGAGTTCTACCCTCTATGTACCTAATGAGTTCTACCCTCTATGGACCTAATGAGTTTTACCCTCTATGTACCTAATGAGTTCTACCCTCTATGTACTGAATGAGTTCTACCCTCTATGTACCTAATGAGTTCTACCCTCTATGTACCTAATGAGTTCTACCCTCCTAATGAGTTCTACCCTCTATGAGTTCTACCCTCTATGGACCTAATGGGTTCTACCCTCTATGTACCTAATGAGTTCTACCCTCTATGTACCTAATGAGTTCTACCCTCCTAATGAGTTCTACCCTCTATGTACCTAATGAGTTCTACCCTCCTAATGAGTTCTACCCTCTATGTACCTAATGAGTTCTACCCTCTATGTACCTAATGAGTTCTACCCTCTATGTACCTAATGAGTTCTACCCTCTATGTACCTAATGAGTTCTACCCTCTATGGACCTAATGGGTTTTACCCTCTATGTACCTAATGAGTTCTACCCTCTATGTACCTAATGAGTTCTACCCTCTATGTACCTAATGAGTTCTACCCTCTATGTACCTAATGAGTTCTACCCTCTATGTACCTAATGAGTTCTACCCTCTATGTACCTAATGAGTTCTACCCTCTATGTACCTAATGAGTTCTACCCTCTATGGACCTAATGAGTTCTACCCTCTATGTACCTAATGAGTTATACCCTCTATGGACCTAATGAGTTATACCCTCTGAAAATAACAGTTTATTTGCTGGGTGTATTGCTTCATAAACAGACAGGGTCATGCTGAGACAGGATTTCAGTAAGTATATGTAACTAGTTGCTACTTAACTGAACAGATCTAGTGCATGCCACACATAATAATGAAGGTAAATATTCTTTGCCTAAAGACAATTCTACCTGAACACATAACAATCCATGTGTACGCTTCCAGTGATATACAAACCATCAAACGTAGCTTATAATAAACATCAAACCACACCTATCAGATCTTTATCTGGGGTTATGTAAGCTGATATACTGACTGAGCTATCACTGTCCCCTCTGAAAGTCAAGTAGTATTATCATACATACCTTGTAAGGTGAGAGTTTGGATCTGTTTACATTTGGTTGCCAGGGTAACCAGAGATTGAGACGTCAAACTTTCACAGTCAATCAGCGAGATGTAGTTAACATTAGGCCACAAGGGAGCTAACTCTTCAAGCATTGAACTCTTTAGATTATCTTTCCAAGAGATTTTAACTTTTTGAAGGTTTTTATTTTCTGTAGAGAAAATTTTTAAACATTTAAGTCCACTGTATTTGTAAGTATTCTCAAATTCTATCCTTTTAAAGTCGATTGATATCAAATCTGGTTTATAGAACTGTACATACTCAGTACCACTGGGTTCAGTGTTATCTTCAATCTCACCATTTTCACTGTTTTGATTACTGTTTATTGGATTTGATTCAGCAGAATTATCTGAGTAGCAATATTCTCCTGATTCATCTAAACTTCCTCTAGTATTTTGAAGTTGGTTAATTTCACTGTGATCACCAAAACCCTTCAATTCGGAATCAATAAAATGTTTTAATTCATCTGGATCATCCAAACTCTTGCATTCTACATCAGATTTATCAAGAGCATAAGCACCCTTAATGCAATCATCATTTAAACCACTCTCATTAATATCCATGGCTGTAGATTCTGAATTGTCAACTTCAAGCATGATATCTTTTTCAAAGTGTTCTTTGTGGTTTTGTAAATCAAAGAAAGCTCCTGGCTCATTCAGACTTGTGTCAGAAATCTCATGCTCCTGACAAGATTTTTGTACATTGGCATTTGCACCACGCTCAACAGTTCCTGAGTTCAATGAATTATCACAGTTTGAGAAATGCACATCAGTGAATGCACCAGAACCTGAACACGTAACCACTGATTCTGAACTTGCACCCACAGGTATTGAGAAAGAAGCTGAAGATTCTGAACATGTTACTCCAGATTCTGAACAAACAGTCCCAGATTCTGAGCTGACAGTTCCAGATTCTGAATAGACCATCCCAGATTCTGAGCTGACAGTCCCAGATTCTGAGCTGAAAGTTCCAGATTCTGAATAGACCATCCCAGATTCTGAACAAACAGTCCCAGATTCTGAACAAACAGTCCCAGATTCTGAGCTGAAAGTTCCAGATTCTGAATAGACCATCCCAGATTCTGAACAAACAGTCCCAGATTCTGAGCTGACAGTTCCAGATTCTGAATAGACCATCCCAGATTCTGAACAAACAGTCCCAGATTCTGAGCTGAAAGTTCCAGATTCTGAATAGACCATCCCAGATTCTGAACAAACAGTCCCAGATTCTGAGCAGAAAGTTCCAGATTCTGAATAGACCATCCCAGATTCTGAGCTGACAGTCCCAGATTCTGAGCAGAAAGTTCCAGATTCTGAATAGACCATCCCAGATTCTGAGCTGACAGTCCCAGATTCTGAGCTGAAAGTTCCAGATTCTGAATAGACCATCCCAGATTCTGAGCTGACAGTCCCAGATTCTGAGCTGACAGTTCCAGATTCTGAACAAACAGTCCGTGATTCTGAGTTGAAAGTTCCAGATTCTGAAAAGACCATCCCAGATTCTGAACAAACAGTCCGTGATTCCGAGCTGACAGTTCCAGATTCTGAGCAGACAGTCCCAGATTCTAAGATTGTGTTCCCAGACTCTGAACGTTTTACCCCAGACTCCGAGCAGACAGTCCCAGATTCTGAGCAGACAGTTCCAGATTCTGAGCAGACAGTGCCCGATTCTGAGGTTTTAATACCAGAGTCAGAACATATCGTCCCAGACTCGGAACATATTGTCCCAGACTCAGAACATATCATACCAGACTCCGAACATATTGTACCAGACTCTGAACATATTGTCCCTGACTCGGAACATATCGTCCCAGACTTGGAACATATTGTACCAGACTCAGAACATATCGTCCCAGACTCGGAACACATCATGCCAGACTCAGAACATATCGTCCCAGACTCTGAACACATCATGCCGGACTCAGAACATATCGTTTCAGACTCGGAACACATCATCCCAGACTCGGAACACATTATGCCAGACTCGAAACAGATCATCCCAGACTCGGAACATATCGTCCCAGATTCAGAACATATTGTCCCAGATTTAGAACATATCATCCCAGATTCAGAACATATCATCCCAGACTCAGAACATATCGTCCCAGATTCAGAACATATCATCCCAGATTCAGAACATATCGTCCCAGATTCAGAACATATCGTCCCAGATTCAGAACATACACTTTGTTTATCACAAGGTATCACTATAGGTATACCGGTCTCATCTGATATTATGACATTATCATATTTACAGTAATTATTTTTTTGGATGAAATTCTCATCAAACCTCATTCCATCCCCGTAGTCCAAGGTAACTGATACCACATTCTCATCATATGATGTGGCATTATTATCGGGTGAAATCGTGACCTTAGATGGCGTGAGGCAATTTTTGTCTCCAGAAGTTGGAATAGTTTTGGAAACTGTCCCTGATTTCACACTATCATCATAATATTTCATGCCAGTGTCATCCTCTGTAAAATACACCTGGACTTGTTCTTCCTTATGGTTTGACAGACTAGAACAAGCTGATGTTGTACCGGAACCGTTTGAAGAAAGATTTACCTCAGTCATGTCTTTAGGAACTCCAAAGTCAGCAGATAAACAAATCTCACTGGTTTTAGAGTTTTCCTGAAGTTCTTTGAATTTAGAGTTTAAGAACGTTTGGCAACTTTCAGAATTTGGCATTTTTTCGACATCTTGACCATATTGAAAACCTAAACTGCTTTGGGCGTTATTCAATCTGTCACTGGCTAGAGATGAATGTAGATTTTCAATGATCCCTGATTTTTGTGAAAGTGCATCAGATTGAGGGTCTTGTGTTATTAAACTAGTTGTGTTTTGTGACAAGTCACTTGCCTGTGACATGTCAGAATGTTCTGTTTTGTCATTAAATGATTTAGCAATGTCTGATTTTAACCTTGAGCATATTTCACAACAGGAGTCTATGTCTGATGTGAGATTGTGCTCGCTACATTTGTCTACAGTCCAGCTGTAGGAATCATCATTCACATGCACTGTGACATCAGATGTCAAATCATCAACATCAGATCCACCAATCAAATGAATTGTTTCATCACATGTGTGGCCCTCAACAAGGGCTGCACCAATTAAAGGTTCTGTTGCACAAGATGTTGAAGTCCCCTTCGAAGATTTATAAACTGCAGGCTCTGTTACATTAAGGATGAGTCCATTCACTACAGGTTGCTGTCCAAACTTGGACAAGAGTTTGTCACTATTCACACTTCCCTCTGAATCACTATCCTCCCCCTCCTCTGTGGTACAGTCCACAGAACAATCCGAATCACTAGCTTCCTCCATGATTTCCATGAAACTTTTCAATTTTATCTTGTTACCACTATATGTAGATTTATCCTCACAAAAATTGAACAATGGGGGTGATTTTCCGATGTCAACATGATCTTCAGTACTAGGATAAAAATCTACCTGATCGACATCAAGAGTGTTTTGTATATTCTGTTGTTGAGACATCAGGTTGGTACTTATTTCTGACTGAGTGTTCTGAGGCAACACAGCATTTTCTACATCTTGATGGGAATTAGCAGACACTGTAAATGTTGGGGCATGTGAATGTTCCTGGCTAGACAATAGTGAGACACCGATATCTGGGTTGGGGTAGCTGTATGAGAATACAGCTCCAAATTCATTCCCTGGGTTGGAGTCACTGGGTGAAAGTGATGCTTTGACCTCTGAGTTGGGGTCACTGAATGACAATGACGCCGTGACATCCAGATTGGGATCATTGTACGATAATGAAGTTGTGACATCCGGATTGGGATCACAATATGGTAATGAGGCTGTGACCTCTTGGTTAGGGTCAATGGATGATGAAGAGGCTGTGACCTCTTGGTTAGGGTCAATGGATGATGAAGAGGCTGTGACCTCTTGGTTGGGGTCAATGGATGAAAATGACTCAGTGTCGGCAGCTCCATTTACTGGAATATCACCATAGTTACCATTCTTTGCTCTCTCTTTCCTCAACATCCCCAACTTCAGCTTGTTCAGAGTGTTCTTCAACTCTAGCAATGACAGCTCCAGAGGGAAATCTAGGACTGTATCGGGATCAGAGAGGGTAAGGTCCAATATCGCAGGTCGGCCATAACCTGACAGGTACAACAACGCCAATGTGTCCGCCTGTAAAATAAAACACTTTACATTTCATACAGCAACTACAGTAGCTCTTTTACAAAGTCATACAGCAACTACAGTAGCTCTTTTACAAAGTCATACAACAACTACAGTAGCTCTTTTACAAAGTCATACAACAACTACAGTAGCTCTTTTACAAAGTCATACAACAACTACAGTAGCTCTTTTACAAAGTCATACAACAACTACAGTTGCTCTTTTACAAAGTCATACAGCAACTACAGTTGCTCTTTTACAAAGTCATACAACAACTACAGTTGCTCTTTTACAAAGTCATACAGCAACTACAGTTGCTCTTTTACAAAGTCATACAGCAACTACAGTTGCTCTTTTACAAAGTCATACAGCAACTACAGTAGCTCTTTTACAAAGTCATACAACAACTACAGTTGCTCTTTTACAAAATCATATGTTACAATTTCAATTTACACCTGTTTCTGTCACATGCTCATTCAAATAAATGTGTAGGAGATATATCATTAATATCTTATTCACATGGTTCAGGATGATACCGGATGGGAGAGACAATGGTAACACTTTATCTATATAATAAAGTTGTGAGAACTGCTGACAAGTCCAACCATATTTACCCCTGTCCAAGAGATATTGACATGTTTGAGGGTTGGTCCTGTCAGAGTGGCCAGATGTCTAACCGCTGTACTGGTCAGTGTGGTACAGGAAACGTCAACGCTAATCAGGGCACAATCATAACATTCCTGAGTCATCTGTAATTCAGAACAAACATATCTTAAGCTATTTTAACCACAGGTCTTTTTTATTTCCCAGGCAAAGGATTGAAACCAGGAGCTCTGACTTACAAGACACTCTGACATATGAACTTAGGAAGTTCAGTCTGTATATTTCTATAAACAGAAACAATATGTTAGATAGTTTATCAACAGTATTCTCTTGATATCAATGATATTTTCAATGTCACTTAATCCTGACAGAATATGTACTGACACAACTTACATTAAATATCCTGAAAACTTGGCAATAAGAGAAAATGTTCATCAAATTAAAAAAAATTGAACTTTCTCATTTTTAAATGTTTTGCCATGAAAACCTAATATAATAAAAATATCATTGCAAATATTTACTTCAGTAGGTTAACTATGAATGAATTACATGTATGAAGATTCCTTAAGTGATTACAGTCGAGCTAAAAATGAATTACCTGTCCAAAGGTTTCCCTCTGTAGCTGAAGATTCTCATTAAGAAGGAAGACATTGTCTGTCAGCTTGGAACAACCTGACAAGTTCAGGTGTTGTAAAGTTTTCATGTATAATAGGATACTCTGTAATAAATAGATCCTGTCATCAGAAATAATTGTCAATGAACAAAATGGTCTATGTCAAAGTCAGCAGTATTTGTGGTTCATCACGGTCCCTTTGTAGAAACCGAAGCTTCCTGACTGAACTTTATGGACCGTCACACACTATCAAACCAAGCAAGTGTCTTGTTCTAGGACATAATGGTGACAACATAGACCAGCCTCTGATGTGAGTTCCAAGAGAAACACAAACATGAGGTGAGGTTAGGACAAAACCATACTATATGGATGTCTACCAAATGTTCAATTGTCTGGTGCTCTACCAACAAAGCACCTTCATCAACAATAATTACACTGCCTTCATTAAAAACATCTTTTTTCAAAAGCAGCTTATTACTTTTCAAGTATTTTTTTTCTAAATATTGATATACAAGCTTAAGAGGCCTTCTAGAAATCCCATGACATTCATTTCCTGGAAGATTTGCCAGGTCTTATCGTCACCTAAATACATGGACCAAAATGATATATTCTTGTTATTCATATTTGCATTATCAACAACATTTAAGGAAATCTTGATAAGGCATCTAATTATAATGAGTGAAACCCACGTGTTATACTGTCAAAACAAAGAGTGCCTACAAAGAGCAGTGTGACATCACAAGTCAAAGTAGATATTCGTTATTAAACGGCTTGCTCCGCTTTGCGTCAACATGTTTCAGTCAGAGAATTTAAACATGCTATAATATCTCATTTATGAAACAAGAACTCCTCAGAATTTACATGAATAAAAAATCATCATTACTTTTTATTTTTCTTTGGGTTGTTTGTGACAATATTGTGACAGATATAAGTACCTGGATTAAAACATATTACCATGTGAGGGGCTATCATCTTCATGAGAACATTGCTGTATTTAGCCATTAATTACCTGTACAACAGAGTTGTCGACTGTCAGACAGTTCTCTAGGCTAAGTGCTGTGATTCCTGGTCGAAGGAAAGATGCTATATGGAAAACTTCAGGCTGAGAAAACTGGTCACATTCAGACAGGTCAAGCTTAGTGACCAGAGGACAGCTGAAAATAATACAGAATAGAAGTTCTTATAACAAAACCAGTAGAAGCGATTTGAGTGTGACGTTTCGATGAATACACAGTCACCTTCATCTTATAACACAACCAGTAGAAGATTAGAGTGTGATGTTTCGATAGCTACACGGTCACCTTCATCTTATAACACAACCAGTAGAAGATTAGAGTGTGACATTTTAATGACTACACAGTCACTTTCATCAGACAAATGACCAGCGCTGAATCGACCAACTATTTTGGCTACATTATAATCCTATGTAAACTAAAGTCAAAAACAGCATGAAGAGATGGTAAACAGATTATAGACCAACAAAATACACCAGATGGTAATGATGTACTGTAGTAAATTCTGTGCGCTTTATTTAACTCATAGGTGTGCGAGAGTTTGTGGTCATTTGTCTGATGAAGGTTACTGAGAAGTCATTGAAACGTCACACTGTAATCTTCTTCTGGTTGTGAGATCAGATATTCTAATCTACTGGCATTACCGGCCAAAAAAATGTTCCAAAACAAAATCCTATGTTTTTCACTGATTAGTCCTGATTATGCTTTCAAGCATTATGATGTAGTTTCAATGGACTTTTCCTAATGCTACCTCAACACTCAGTCATATATGTACACTTTGATCTCTAAAACAATAAAAAAGGAATCTCAACACCACTACATTAGGAGTGTTGGATCACCCATTATTTATTATTACTTTGATCTCTAGAATAATAATCTGATTTCCTGGGCTGCCATTGATAAGTAAAGGTATTGATATACATATGACACATACTTTTTTATAAGGGAAAGCTATCTATATGTAGAGTGAAATCAGTGTCCAATACATAGAAATTGTGTGCATTTAAAAAAAAAATTTGAAAGCTTTTGAAATCTTACTTACTTTTCAAGAACATTTTTTAAACCAGCAAATGACACAGATTTACATTTCTTGAGTTTCAATTCCCGTAAATGTGTTGATGCCAACGCAGATAAGACATTATTTGTCACCTTTCCAGGATATCTCTCGACAAGGCGTCGAAGCAGACCACATGACACAGCTGTAAAACATCCTGTTTGGAGCTGGCGGAGCATCCGTTGTGCTGCTTCTTTATCGCCATCACCAGAAAGGTCAAGCAGTGTTTGGATACATATCAACTTTGCTGTGAACTTTAGGGGAACGACACTGGCCATTTCTGGTAACTGGTGGTCAGTGCTTTGGTGAGTTCACCATGGTAGATATAGTTGTCATTGACTCAAGATTACACACGGTCTGGTCGGAGACTTTACTTAGAAAGATGGCCTGTAATGTTAAAACAAATATATATACAAAGTGACAGAAATGTTGACATAACCATCTAAACCTGTCTTAAAGGTCACTTATCAAGATTTTACACATGAAGTTCAAAATATTGAGGAAATATTTCATGTGTATAACCTACAGTCAAACATAAAGGCCACTCAAGGGAACTGCAAACGTAATAGGCATGTGGCCTTTATAAAAAGGTTCAATTACCCTGAACTGTATTTCATTTGGACTGAAACCAGTGGTCTTTATAGGCAGGTTAGCCTTTCTGTAAAGGTAACCTTTATAGACAAGTGCCACACACATATATCTGACCTTTACTTGTAGACAGCAGATAGCCTTTAAACAGAGGTGACCTTTATAGACAGGTGGCCTGGTCTTTATGTAGAATTGTCTTTTGATGGTGACCTTTATATAGAGCTGACCTTTATAGAAAGGTAGCATTTATATGGAAGTTCATCTGAACTGTATAACGATGGAACCAAAACAAGTGATGTTTATAGAGACCTGTGAAATATTTATGTAGAGGTTCAACTACCGTGAGTAAATCATATTACACCATATCAAAAAGCAAAATAAGTGGCTTTAACCTTAAAGTGTTTACCGACGGCTTGGTTCTGCAAACAGCAGGTCGCCGAAAATGAGTACCCGTAAAGGGAAGAAGGAGGCAACGTATGCTTTAAACGTAATCGTTTTATCAGATGATGTCAAGATCAGCTACAAATGTGTAGCTCCATCTTCAATGTAACGTCTTGTTTGACACGCTCTGCATAATGTATTAACGCTTGATAAGATTTCTGTTATCTACATGAAACATCCATTTTGACGATGTTACATACAATGTACTTATTTCTTTCGTTATTTCCTTTTATATCTTTTATCGTTCACGTACATGTAAATCACGTACAGCTGGTCCTAGAAACTATCAACCTTACCACCATAACAGATTTAAACGATGATGATTTGAAGGAGTAATATTCTATATCCCTCTACAAAAGTGTCGTCAGTGTGGCATATCCATTCTAACACGTTTCACTTACTTACCTGTAATTATCGATGTGACAGGTGAAAAATTCCCCGAGTTGAGTCGGCCATGCTGTTTATACTGTTGTGTGTATATTGCGGAACATTCCACAGTGAAACGGAACGAAACAAACCAAGATTATCAAGCAGTCATATTATAAGAGATTAGAGTATGTCTTTTTGTGTATCTACAATCTACTTGAAATTGAATAATGATTTTTTTTTGTGTTTAACATGACTCGCGACGCAAAATGATAATGATTGACATGAATGTAAAGATAGTTTCCATTTCATACGATTATTTTTTACCTTATTTTTGTGACACTCAGCGAACATTTGTATAGAACATAACATTTTGACAAATTTTATTTCAAGAGCGGAGAACAAAATATATAACGGGGGAGTTGTTTTGCTGTGTCACTTTCATTTGATGACGTGGCTTCATATTATAGCATCATAATCGAATTATGGTTGGCACAGCCAATGAAAAGGACTCCAGTGTTACGCTTGTGACATATCAGCAAATATTGATGTGACCAGGAGATGTATTCGTCTCTGTCATACAAAAGGTTATTGCTTTTCACTTCTATTTTATTCCAATGCGCCAAGTTTCAATTTACAATTCCAAAATTTCCGGAGTTACGATTTCCTAATTTTGATTCCTATTGTGTTTTTTTTTCATCTCGAAATGATGGGCAGTTACCTCGGAATTTGGGTTTCTAGCCTTGCGATTTCGTGATATTATTTCATAATTTCGAGTTATCATCTCGAAATCTCGGTTTACACCCGAGCCATTCTTTTCTGCCGATAGACCACGAGCTCGTCAAGAAACCTTAGCTTTCATCAGGGACATATATACATGTACTTGGATATTTATCATAAACATAGCACCTAATTATGTCTGAATTTCGCATCAACATCGAACAGAGGATATTGCATACTAAACCACGTACTTACAAATTTAAACTTTAATGTACATTTAGGTGCATGAATCTAAATTCATTACGAATCTAACACCGCTTTGTATCAGAACAGTATTTCGTTTAGTAATGCTTTGATTTAAAAGTCGGCTGATAATTAAGTACAGATATATCCATCAGTGTATTATCAACATTTTACACAACTATATGTATGTACAGTGAGTTATCTATGGTTGGAGGTGTAGGGGGATGATATCAGTTACTGTCAAAACATAAGATGGATAACTCGGCATAAATGTGTTCAGTTAGCAGTGATTCAACATAAACCGCTCTTGATCATGGACAGTGCCTGTTTCACCCCTGAAAGACAAGTAGTTCCCGGTATGACGTGAAGAACAGGAGAATACCGACATGTCAACTGAATCAAAACAATGAGAAAATATTATCAGATACGTATTGATTATTATACTAATACAGGGGAAATCAAATAAAGTGTTCCGGAAGGGTTAACGTCTTCCGCTTCATCTACAATACTAGATATGCACATGTAGACCAAGTTAATTGTTCCGTCATTTCAGTGATTTTCAGTGTTCAGTGATTTTAATGTAGTAGTCGTGCTTCTTCGCATACCAAAACCACAACTCCGAGGGTTCGTTTAAGCGTTTATTTTCAGATAGTAATAAAAAAAAACCTGCAACAGATACAACATATATTACTACGAATCACACCTATTACACACTAAGAATATCACAGGATCAATGAATGTCATCCTGACCGTAGTCAGTTACTAATTTAACAATTACACTGTTAACTACATGTACATTCCTATAAATTATACAGAAATTACAGCTTAATTATAAATTAACGAATATATAATATTAGACATTAATACACATAAAATACCCATCTCTTCAATGCGAAGAAGGTTTTTTTTCCCGGACGAAGTCCGCCGAGCACCAATTCTGGCTCGAAGCTTACACTATACAAAAGGAAAGTACGATACACATCAAAGTCTTCTTCTTTAAAACTATAGACCTATATGCTTATTAAAAAATGTAAATTGACCACACCCAATATTTGAATTTACTAGATTCCGAAAACATTTACTTTTACTTGAAACAAACTATTACATAAATTAAATATATTATTAAATAGATACTATATTAAATTATACTCATAGTTACATACTAAGTATCGGGTACTTATATTACTCCTATAGCTAGTGTCCCACAAATAGCAATTATGACTAGGTAACTTGTTAATCTCGCCGCATCGGCCGCTCTGCCCAAAATGACCAGTGCGCTCCCCGATCACCCAATATCCCCTGTAAATATACTAATAATAGATAAGACAGACTGGACAAACTGGTTTACAAATACAAACGTCACATACATCTCGCGCTACACTCTCATTTTCACGTGCCATACTCGCGCGCGCGCTAAAATCCATGTCGCAATGCGCCACGTACAGAATAATACGAAAGGTTGACTTCCGGTTCTGACACGCGAACGCCTTACGATAATATTAAAACAATAACAATTGCATATAGCATGTGATGTCGAGTGAGTCCAAAGAAATACAAACTAAACGCCTTTCATGAGTTTCTTTATTACATATACAAAGTTGCTAGTTCCTTTAGCCATAGTTCACAATCATCACAAACACAGTGTAGGGGTTCTTGGTTGCACCTAGCTTGCGCCCCAACCTGCGGTAAAAAACTGAAAAATACAGAAATTAACCTGTGCTTAGTACATATTTCAACAAAATTAATCAAACTTCAAACGTTTAAACCGTATCAAAGTTACCTCATGGGTCACCTAAGCCTTGCTAAATCCGCAAGTCTGTTTCCTTTGGACTTTCACGTAAACATATCCCATGATGCATTTTTCCACGACGTACAAAGAATGAACTCTGAACCCTGACCTGACTACCAGAGCAGACGGACAATAAAAAAAACTAGCGTTTCACTACATTCCTCGCCTGATTGCTAAATTACTACTACATTTAAACCCTGTAAACATTCATATTATTTATAACCCGATGAAAATATATAATATCAAAACTTATCTGAATAACAATGAACTAAAGATTCTAAGCAACAACATTCACTTGTCGCTGTCAATGTTCAACACAATAATTCACTCTGCCATCAATAGTACTAAATGAGTAATAGGACGGATATACGAAACCGATCGTCCATTACGAATTGTCTTAACTCTGACTTTACGAACAAGACCATCGTGACTAGGGAAAACACATTCTACAATTCCCATTGGCCAGTCATTACGATGAGAGTCATGATCCTTCAGCAAAACAATGTCACCTTGTTTCAAGTTTGAACGTTCGTGATTCCACTTTTGTCGCGTTTGTAGCTATTGTAGATAGTCTCTTCTCCACGCGTTCCAAAATTTCTGGGCCAATACCTGAACATATCGCCATTGGGATCGATACATGTCTTTCACTGAGAAGTCTACCAAGGTTAGATCTACATTTGGAACGTCAGTCTTTTGCGTAATGAGAGTACTTGGCGACAATACCACTGGGTTTTCAGGGTCGTCAGATACGGGTACCAGTGGTCGCTGGTTCACTATAGCACACGCTTCGGCTAGAAAAGTCGTAAGTACTTCATGCGTGAGGTGTTTAGTGTCAGTATTACGCAACATGTTGTCCAGAATCCTTCTAACGGTACCAATAAGCCGTTCCCAAGATCCGCCCATATGGGAGGCATATGGAGTATTAAAGGTCCATGTGATGCTTTCCTCTGAAAGAAAGTCTTTCACGGCTTTGTCCTCGACGTCAATAACATTCAAGTTAAGTTCCTTAACGGCTCCTACGAAGTTAGATCCTTTGTCCGACCTAATGTGCTTTACCGGTCCTCTGATCGCGATGAATCTCCGCAGTGCGTTAATGAAGGAAGATGTGCTCATCTCCTCTACGACCTCAATATGTATCCCTCTCGATACCATGCAACAGAATATTATAGCCCAACATTTTGCGTTAGCTTGTCCTCCCCTAGTTTTTCTTGCGCGCACATTCCATGGTCCAAACGCATCCAATTCAATGTAAGTGAAAGGCGGACATGGTGTCAAACGATCCTGCGGTAAAGTACACATTTTTTGTTCCACAAACTTTCCTCGGAGTTTCCTGCACACGACACAGTGATGTAAAATAGAGGAAATTAATCGCTTTCCTCCCACTAGCCAATAACCAGAAGAACGTATTTTACCCTCCGTAATATGTCGGCCTTGGTGTTCCGATTTCTCGTGATAATGTCTCACGATTAGAGTAGTCACGTGATGTTTTGCTGGGACAATGATCGGATCCTTTCCAGGTAAGTCAATGTCACTATTCTGAATCCTACCACCAATCCTCAGGAGCCCCTCGTCGTCTAGAAACGGCGACAATTTCAACAAAGAATTGTTCCTGTTTAACGGCAGTCCTTTCTGCAAACAGTCGATTTCCATCGAATAATATTCTTGTTGAACAACCTTCAGTATGAGGTTCTTTGAATCGTTAGCAAAACGCAACACGTCTGGATTGTCTGTTCCGTTGTGATGACGATGCGCGACTGGTTTCAGTAAGGTTATTGCACTAACCAACCTAGTCCATGACGAAAATCTCGCGAAACGGTCAGAATCGAGAACGAAGTCCTTCCGAACGCGAGTTTTCATGACATTTGTTTCGTTGACGAACGTTATTTCACCGTCGTCGTTACCAATCAACGGAAATACTTGGTCTCTATACGAACTTTGCAAATCACTCACGACGTCAACGGGTCCGTTCAACCACACTGACTTTCCAACGTCTTTCGCACGCATTGGCCTAGTCGCACTATCGGCAGGGTTACATTCACTAGAAACGAAACTCCACTGCTGTTTGGAAGATAACTTCAGAATCTTGTCAATCCGATTAGCAACATAAACGAAGAAACGGCGCGTGTCGTTAAATATATACCCTAGTACTACCTGACTGTCGGTATAGTAGTAGGTGGCGTCAAACACAACATCGACGTGTTCGGATATAAATAAACCGAGTTCAGTAGCCAGAACAGCCGCACATAGTTCTAGTCTTGGAATTGTATGTCCGTGGGAAGGCGCTACTTTCGATTTGCCAAGAACGTATCCAACAGAAGCATTTTCCTGTACGTCA